TCTGCGGTAACCGAGCAGGTGCTGCGGTTTCTGAGCCGCAGCCTCCGCGACAGCTGTCCGCAGCAGAAGAGGGAACTACGCGGGACAACCGCTGCGCGACGCTTAACTTCCACCACTCATGCGAGTGAACAGGTGGCTCCCAGCTGCCCCTTCTATTTTGGGAGAATGCGGAACCTTTGGGGCTGGAGAGGCGGCTCAGAGGTGGAGAGCACTGGCTGCTCCTCCAGAGGATCTGAGTTCAATTCCCAGCAGCCACATGGTGGCTCAGAAACATCTCTAATGAGAGCGGGTGCCCTCTTCTGGCCTGTAAGCAGACATGCAGGCAGAACACTGTCTACATAATAAATAAATACATCTTAAAAAAACAAAACAAAACAAAACATTGACCCAAGTAGATCAGCCAGAGTGTGGACCTTGGAGCCTTGGAAGTGACAGCCACTCCTTCCATGATGGTTCCTTCCCCCTAGTCTCCCCCTCTGTTTTGCTTGATTTATTTTTTGTGTGCATGGGTGTTTTGCCTCTGTAACACGTGTTTGGCTGGTGCCTGCAGAGGCTAGAAGAGGCCATGGGATACCCCGGGGCTGAGTTAGCAGACCTGTGACCCTCCAGAACTGACCAGTGTGCTCTTAAGCGCCAAGCCATAGCAACCAAAGAGTGACTGATACTATGTGACCTTGACCCTGGTGAACTCCAGAAAGCTCCAAAATCCAAGCACTCAGTCACTTGTGCTGGGACTCAATCCAGGGCCTCGTGCATGCTGAGCCCAGGCTGGGCCACTTGGTTATACCCCAGCCTCAAACCCAGCTTTCTGGGTGCCCACCTGAGGCTGCAAGTGACAAGTTACACTTTTCGAAACATTGAGAGTAAATTTTTTGTTTATCGTTTTGATTTTCTGAGACAAGATTTCTTATGTGGTCCTAGCTGTCCTAGAACTCGCTATATAGACCAGGCTGACCTCATCCTCATAGAGATCCACCAAGTTCCGGGAGTAAAAGATACAGTCTACACCTGGCTTGAGTCCATTTTAAAAACATTTAGGTCCAAGCCAGGCGGTGGTGGCGCATGCCTTTAATCCCAGCACTAGGGAGGAAGAGGCAGGTGGATCTCTGTTCGAGGAACCAGCCTGGTCTCCAGAGCGAATGCCAGGATAGGCTCCAAAGCTATACAGAGAAACCCTGTCTTGGAAAACAACAAAAACCATTTAGGTCCGACGTGGTGATGAACACCTCTATCTTGGCACTGAGGGAGCAGAGGCTGTTGGGTCTCTGAGTTCAGGGCCCTCCTGGTCTGCATAGTGAGTTCCAGGCCAGCCAGGGATACATAATGAGAACCTGCCTCCCCATGGGGTTTGAAGGGTTCTAGAATGTTGAAGATGGCTCAATAAGTAAAGGCACTCCAAAGCCTGAAAACTTGAGTTCAGTTATTCACAGAAATGAAATAAATGAAACAAACTTTAGTGTTGGTACACTTTCTTTCAAACTGCACGTGTAAGGCATGAATGACACATCCAGTGACTGTGACAGGAGTTTGTATCACAAATCACTGATGTTTGTACCAATATTCTGAAATTTTCAAAATCCCAAATCTAAACTGTTTTTGGTCCTATAGATTCCGGAGAAAAGGTCTCACAGCGACACCGTCATGGTGACGTCATGTGACGCCCATGTAAAAGCTTAAAAAATACTAAAATGAACCCTGTCTTCCAGCATTACCGTGGTGTCTGTGGGCCACCTCACTGAGAGGCTGAGGCAGGAGAACTGCTTAGGAGTTCAACAACAGCCTGGAAAAATACCCAGAGGTGGCTCAGAAGCAAGATAAGGATGCTGGAGCCCCTACCTAGAATCTCCCAATGAGGGGCTGGGGGCGTGGCTCAGGGTGGAGCGGCTCAGGGTGGAGCCTCTGCTTAGAGTCTCCCGGAGAAGCTGGGCAGTGGTGACACATGCTCTTAGTCCCAGCACTCAGAAGGCAGAGGCAATTCGAGGTCAGTCTGGTTTACAGAGTGAGTTTTAGGCCAAAAATAGAAAAGGTAAAGAAAAAAACTAGACTAGATTTCCCCAGAGAGAGGCTAGGTGAAAGGTTCAGGCTTTAATGCTGATCAGCTCTACCTCTTTAAGAGACAGACCCCAGCCCCTGACAACATTCAGGGCACGCACAGGGATGTGCCATCCCCACATCACCCACCACGCATTTACAGCCTGCATGAAGACTCTGGGCATGCGTGGAACCTCAGTGTGCATGCACAGTCTTCCCTTTAAAAGTTCCAACTTTCCTGCTTCACTTTCTCTCTGTTTTTTCTTCACTCTGCTCTTCTCCCACCTATGTGCTTTCTCTGCCTCTCTATGGCAACTGGCCATGGTGGTCAGCCATTACCCCTGTTCCTCTTCTCTAAGTCTCCCTACTCTGCCAGGCCTATAATAAACTGGTTAACATGTCTCATCCACCTCTTTTCTTATTTCTAATTTAAGCAAAAAATTTAACACTAGGGATTCCATGGGGGAGAGGACTTAGAGTACTGCTTGATGTGAATAAATCCCAGGGTTTCATCCTGGGAGATGCAAAACCAAAGATGAAGGAAAGAAGAGATAGTGAGCCCCAGAGACCCTCAACATAAACATCGTGGATTGGCTCACAGGGTGTCCCCTTCATGAGAGTTAACAATGAACATTACGGTAGGAAGCACAATGAGCTTTTTAATTTAAAATTGAGGCATTTAAAAATTATTTTCTTCTGGCTGCTTTGAAGTGGGATGTTACTATAGGGCCTGGGGTGACCTTGGACTCAGCATCCCAATGTCTCAGTCTCCCAAGGGCTGTGATGGCAGGTGTCTTTGCTCTTAGCTGGCTATCCCTTCTTTTTTCATTTTGTTTGTTGCTTTGTTTTGAAAAAGCATCTCACTGTGTAGCCTGGCTGGCTGGAAGTAGCTGTTCCTTCTAGAACACAGGTCCAAACAGTGTCATGCATTGAGACAACAAACACACCCTTGGACCCGTTTCTTGCTAGCTGTGCCTGATGTCAACATCACTGTTGCTTTGTCAGGTGTAGAGTGGGGACAGTGGAGATCCCAGGACTAGACTAGGCTCATTGTTAGCAGGCTGTATAGCCTGCATGCCAGCCCTTCACCATTTGGGCACTTGCTGCCCTGGGGCATCCATAGAAACTGAAGAGAAGCAAGCTGAATGAATGCTTGGTGGCCCTGCCTGGAGTGTCCTTGATCTGTATAGGTTAGCCTGGAGACAAGGGTTCTGTTGTCAGAATGGCTTCCCCTAATTCACACAATATAACCCACAAAGCCTTGCTAATGGTGCTAAGAAGGTAGAGATGGGGCCCTTGAGATGCCTCAGACAGTAAATATGCTTACCAAGCTGATTGCCTAAATTCCATCCCCAGGAACGAGACACACACACACACACACACACACACACACACACACACACACACCATGTACATACAGTGAAAAGTTAGTCCCATTACAGTGTTTAAAGATGGGGCATCTGGAGCTAATTAAAATGTGGCAATGGTATTTGGACTTCCAATCTACAAAACTGAGCTACATAAACATTTTCTTTTTGTACAGTCCCAGCCTTAAGACCAAGCCATCAGAACCATGATGCTGTTTTTTTTTTTGTTTTTGTTTTTTTTTTTTTGTTTTGTTTTATCGAGACAGGGTCTCTCTCTGCATAGTCCTGGCTGTCCTGGAACTCGATCTGTAGACCAGACTGGCCTCAAACTCAGAAATCTGCCTGCCTCTGTCTTCCAAGTGCTGGGATTAAAGGTGTGTGCCACCATATCCAGCTTTTTCTGATTTTACTGAGACAGGGTTGTGCTGGCTAGTTTTTGTGTCAACTTGACACAAGCCACAGTCATTGGGTGGGGGACCTCAATTGAGAAAATGCCCCCCAGAGATTGGCAAGCCTGTGGAGCATTTTCTTGATGGATAATTGATGGGGGCGGTGGGAGGTGCCATCCCTGGGCAGGTGGTCCTAGGTTCTATAAGAAAGCAGGCTGAATATAAAACTTGGGGAGCAAGCCAGTAAGCAGCACCCCTCCATGGCCTCTGCATCAGCTCCTGATGCTACTAGCTAGGTTCCTGCCTTGGCTTCCTTCAATGACTGTGATTCAGGCTGTGTAAGCCAAATGAACCCTTTCCTCCCCAAATTGCTTTGGTCACAGTGTTTCATCACAGAAGCCCTAACTAGGACAAATACTGTGGGTGTCCTGCTGCAGCCTGCTCAGGTACGACCTGCTGAGGCACCTAGGCCTTGAGACAAACCAGAGATGCTGCACTCTGGCAAGTGTCAAGGCTCAGCACATTTATTTCTGAAAACCAACAAGAAATGACATTTGTGTGTGTGGACTGCGGGGCAGTCTGTGGACACTGTGCTACCTACACCCTCCATGGGTCTCCGCCCTTGTAGATGCAGGAGGGCAGAGACTGGGCTTGGTGACTGAGCTGAGTCACCAGTGACCTAGGGGTTACATGGGAGCCAGAAGGGTAGACCTGGGATGTCACAAGCAACAGGGTCTGGGCTCTAACACAACAGGGAAGCACATCCAGGGCTGTCATGTCACCGTGAGCGCCCAAAGGAACACCATAACAACCCTTCCTGGGTCCCTCCTGATGTGAAATCAGACACCCAAATTTTGCTAGGGTCAGGGCCTGGAGACCCCTGAACAGACAGCTGTGGGCAGGCCCAACACTAGCCACATCCAAGTGGTCAGAGTAAGTTCTGAAGCTTCCAGAACATGAGGGGAAAGTGGGGGACTAGGGAAAATAGTGCACCAATGTCATCCCTCTGGAACTGCAGGGTGGTGCACTTGCTAGCACAGGCAGAGGCAGTAAGACGGAGGGTTTGAGGCCAGCTGGGCCTCCACAGTGAGATACTGTCTTAAAACAAAAAAATAAACTTCCAGTTGACTGGAGGTCAGCCGGGGCTGCCGATGTCACCCAGCTAATGTGAGTGTGCTACAAACCCTTAGTAGGGAGGGCAGCTACTCCACAGGGGAGCTGAGGACAGGTTCCTAAGGCACAACAGCAAGGGAGGTGGATGCCACAGCCCGGACCCCTGGACACTGGTCTCAATGCAAGACACAGCAGCCAAGACGTGTCTGTGGGGCTCCTGGTAGGTGGGAAAAAGAGATGGAGAAAAGGAGAAAGGTGGAGGCTGGATGGATGCATAGTGGGATGCAGGAGAGAGACACCTGTCTGCTCAGGTCCTCCCAGTTTCTTGCACCCACTGGTGCCACTGGCCAGGTGGCCAGGCAGAAGAGGCCCCTGAGGGAGTCCAGGCCCATCACACTCGCCAGGTGCATCAGAGCGAGAAGTCTCCGGCGCAGATGCGGGTGTGGACTCCCTCATCCAGGGGCAGGTATCGGCCCTGCTTCATGTCCAGGAAGAAGAGCCGGTCTGAGGTCTGTCGAGGGTCAAAGCCTTCGCGCTGCAGCCGGGTCTTCTGGATCTTGAAGGTGCCTGGGGGAGGGCCAAGGAGAGAGGAGGGGTTAGAACCCGGAAGCAGCTCTCTGCACAGGATTCTTCTCAGCAGCGGACACTCTCCTTGACAGCTGCCCACTGGACACCTTCACACCCTTCACTTCTCAAGACAGGAAGAAAATACTGGCAGGAAGGGGCAAAAGACAAGACAATTCATAGAGAAAGAACTCTCAGAATGTGCAGCGCACCCCTCTCCAGCTTCCTAATTGTCACAACAACGCAAAAACCAAAAGACGAAACAAGGTGCCCACCAACTGACCAGGAGCAGCAGATAAGTCCATCAGGAAATCAAGAAACGCCCCAGGGCAGGTGGCTGTCAACCTTCATTCACACTGGGGACTGAGTCTAAATTAGAACAAAGAAGTTAATGGTTCCTGAGGCAGGGCTGTACCTGTGGTATCCACCTGAGGCAGAAGACGCAGGAAGATGGGCCGGGCATAGGATGCCAGAACCTTCTGCAACTCCTGGTACATGGTGTTAGGGTCCAACTGGCCGTGGGGATCTGCAATGGCCGCCATGCCGGCTTTGCCCTCCACTCCTGCAGAGGGAGGGAGGTTCAGCTGAGAACACCTGCCCACCTGTAGCGTCCGGCTCTCTACTCTATGACCTCCCAACTGGGACAACATTGGTCCTGACAGCACCCATTTCATAAGGGGTCATTTCGACCCTTCTGATCCTAAGGGTCCCCCAAACTGAGGCTCAGCGTTAGAAACAGTTGGAAACTACTTCTCCAGGTTGTATGCTTGCATATACTTGTATATGTCCCCTCTGGGTGGACTCCTTGGGTTCTCTGCACCCCACAACCACCCGGCGTCCCCAGCTTGCCTGGCACGGCCACCCCGTACACGGCCACATCAGTCTGGCCCAGCAGGCGGCTCAGCACGGCTTCCACCTCGGTGGTGGACACGTTCTCCCCGCGCCAGCGGAAGGTGTCCCCGCTGCGGTCGCGGAAATACATGTAGCCCAGCTCGTCCATCACCAGCACGTCACCTGCAGGGGAGAGGGGCAGGTGGGACCCAGCTTCACATCAAGCCAGACAGTCGGACCGCGCGGCTCGCACCTGAGAGGTAGGCGCTGTCGCCCTTGCGGAACACGCTGTGGGCGATCTTCTTGCTGGTGGCGCTATCGCTAACGTAGCCGTCGAAGCGCCGCAGAGGGTCTTGCTGGTTGATCTGGCCCACCAGAAGGCCGGGCTCTCCTGAAGGAGTGAGTGACAGACACTCAGCGGAGTGGGGCGGGTGCCGCGGGGACCCTAGCTCCCCGAGGCACCGGCGGGGCTGCTCTCACCGGGCTGGCATGGGATGCAGAGGCCCTGGGCGTCCCGCAAGGGCTCCATCGTGTCCTCATTCACCTTGACCAGACGGATGGGGTACACGT